GTAACTATTTTAAGCGTTAAGAAGTAAAATAATGAAAGACAAGTTTATTGCTTTATTCAGTAAACAGGTTTTTAAAGAATATCTCAGTAGTCAAATACTCGGTGTAAGACGACTTGGTCTTTCATTGTTGCAACTCTTTAGCTAGCAAATATATTCTTGAAAAAAGATTTTTCTGATTGTAATTAGTTTTGGAAGTGTAGAAAGTTCATTATTCCTTGTAAGTATTCAGGATGTCTGCTTTTTTATGCAGTTGTGGAAAGAATGTAAGATGTTTTAATATATTCTTTGTTAATCTGAGAACTTGTTATTGAATCATTTTCTTCATGTTGGGGAAGGAGGGAGGAACATCATAAAACACGTTTTTATTAAGGTAAGCAATGGAGGTAACATTAGTGCACATTTTTATAGTAATATTTCAAGAATAATAGAATATTTACCTTTAAAACTGGTTATGGTTTGTATGTATTTATAATTTTATCAAAATATTCAGCTAATGATTCAACAGTGATGTCATGTGCATTTGTGGGGAGATTAAGTGGTTCTTGGTTTTCTGATCTGGAACAAGTCGTAACAACCTTCTCTTTAAAAATATGCCCCAGCACTTAATTGGTTATACTCTAATCCACACACAGCGCCCCCTGGTGCTGAGAACAGACACAGACAAGAATAAAACATGGCCTTCCCTGGAGGTAAGGGGTGTTTCATCCACAGGCCAACTGGCCACGGTGAGGGGGAGACAGGATTAACTCATCTAAAGTTGGCCTTGTTCCCTCTAAGTGTGTGTGTGTTCCATAATCTGAAACTGTGGGAAGTGAAATTATTTGCCTTTTCTTAACTACAAAAAATAATTAGATGTCATTCATAACATCTCTTTATAAATTGCACTAATTAATATTGGAACATTATATCAATTTCTGATGTATCAGTGTTTTGCAGTAATTGTGAAAAGCATTGATTTAAATAATGCTAACACATTCTTTAATAAGTTCTTTAACACTGGCCTTTTTAAGTTTTAAAGATGGGTTTTTCCCTTGTGGCTTTAGCACTTTAAGAAGTTTGATGTTTGTCTAATTTTTGCCATGTTTGTTCAGTGCTACTCTGGCTACGGCATTTCCACGCAACTAGGAAGAAACCGAACCGTCAGCGTTTAGATCTGGAGGAGAAAAATGAGTTAATGTAAGGCTTTTCAAAAATTCCTTATAGAGGCAGTCATTTGTGAACCAAAGTATTCTGCTGTAAATCTGTAAAATAATTGAATTCAGTGCTCTTTGGTCATTTGTTAGTGCTATCCAGATTTTCCTGTTACATACTTGGTTAATATTGATTTTCCAAAAGTGATCATTTCTTATTGACATTAATCCAAGACTGTTCAAAACTTTTATTAAATATATGCTTATTGTTGAAAGAAAAACAAATGTGGTTTTGTAATTGTGTATTTTGTTGTTATATCCTTAGCAGAATAATTCATTGTTTGATTTTATTTAGGAATAAGCTTTTTTGGACTGAAAATTCATAGTCAAATAGGATTTCTGTGGAATGTTAATCCATTGCTTATTCGTATCCAATTCTGTTGTCTGTTTACTTTGCTTAAATCTTGACTAAGAATGATGGGAGTCAATAAATTTGTACTGTATTTTGTTTGGAGTCTCAGTCTCATTGGTATGTTTTAGACTTTGATGCTAATGATCGATAGCATTTAAATGTATGAAAGTGAAGATAAAACCCATCTAATTGGCTAATATGAATAACCACCTGCAAGTTGTAAGAGATTTAATTTTCCCCATTAGTTGCAAGTTACTTGTAGAATTGATTGCACTAAAGCTTCACTAATTTGGGCACCAGAAATATAACTAAAACCATATAAGCAGTAATCTGCCTGGGCACCTTTTTCTTTACTGTTCAAATTAGTATTTTTACAAAATGTAGCGGTAAAGGCATAAAAAAGTTCATATCAAGTGATAAACTGTTTCTTAATTTTATAAGGCTTTCATGTTGTAGCATCCTTTTTCCTTCTAAGGTGGCTCTTCCATTACATGGGCATATATTAACTTCATTATGGTATACTAGAGGCCTGGTGCATGGATTTGTGCACCAGTGGGGTCCCTTGGCCTGGCCTGCGCCCTCTGGTAATCCGGAACCCCTTGCAGTGGTTCTCAATCTTCCTAATGCCGTGACCCTTTAATACAGTTCCTCATGTTGTGGTGACCCCCAACCATAAAATTATTTTCATTGCTACTTCATAACTATAATTTTGCTACTGTTAGGAATCATAATGTAAATATCTGATATGCAGGATGTATTTTCATCGTTTGCAACCCACAGGTTGAGAACCGCTGCTGAGGGGATGTCAGACTGCTGGTTTTGGCCCGATCCCCACAGGCCAGGCCAAGGGACTCCACTGGTGCACGAATCTGTGCACTGGGCCTCTAGTATGCATATAAGATCTTTGGTTAATCTCTTCCCACCCTCCCCCCTCCTCTCTTCCCTCTGAGATTCATCAGTCTGTTCCATGTTTCCATGCCTATGCATTGAGCGTCTGCCTCCTGATGGTCAGTGTGCATCATAGCTACCGGTTGATGGCCAGTGGCTGTGGAAATAGGGAAGGAGAGACCAGATGGTCCTTACCGATTTGCTCCACCCAGGTTTGCACTTGCCTCTTCTGATGGTTTTGGTTTCCTTGCCTGATACCCTAAACTAGCCTTTCTGGGGAGCGACTGGCTAAAAGTTTCTTGAACACAGTTCACCAGGAATAAATGGCAAACTCTTTATTTGAATCTCCTTTAGCCCTCTTATTCCATTTCCACCAAATAGATTTGTCTTAAAATTTTACATCTGCCCCTTCTTAGTAAATTACAAGCTTTTCCAAGTTTGAGATTGTTGCATTCCTGTCACATCCTCCTGGGTCTTGGGCCCACACGCAAGGCAATGTCCAGCGGGTGATATTTTCACCTAGCCAGAGAGGCTAAGTCTTGGCTCTGTTAATGTCAGCTCTTATGAACTATGGAGTTGAGTGGAAGGTATTCTTTGTACAAGGCTTATGTCTGGAGAAAAATGTCCCCCTGTTGTCATAGAAGCACTTTGAAAATAAAGCATGGTGCAGCCCTACTTGCATGGATTCAGGTGTCATGCTCAGCCATGGGCCCCCATCCTTGGCAGTGGGGTCCTTTGGTTGGGTGGCTGACCTCATGGTAGTGCGAACCTGCATTTTGCCCAGCTGAGTGTCTTAGCCTGGCGGCATCATTTCTTCTAGGAGTTATTTCCCAACCCCTACTCGCCCGTTCCCCACTCCAGGCTAAAGTAGTGCCCCTATGTGTTCCCAGAAAGCCCTGGGATAGCCCAGTCACTCTGTGGCTTCCATTTTGCCAACCTGTGGTCTATCCAACAAGAACGGGACTGGCCCGTGGGCAGGGACTGTTGGTCAGCTTTGTGTTTCCATGGCTGGGCCTAGTAAGTGTTTGATAAATAAATGCAGCAAAGAACTCTTGTCAGAGGCGAGAGACAACCAGCCCATTTATTTTCCACTACTATCAGAAGGAAACTTGCTGAATACCTGCATATAACCTGGTACTCTCCAGATTTTCCTTCAGCTACTCAGTGAGAGACCCAGAGAGTGTTTTAGTTTGTATATGGTTCCCAGTAAACTCGAGGAGGAATGGAATGTTCAGGTGGCTGGTCTTAGATGGCGAGTCCTTTGGATTGTAAATGCCATGCGCTTGTTTTGGGTGTGTACGTGCCGTGTGAGTGTCGCTGGCACTACTGAGGTGCCCATGATGTCACCCCCAGTGTGGCAAGTTGTCTAGATAAACTCATCAGTAAACGTAAGAATAGTAATAGCTAATGACTAGTTATTACTAGTATCGTAGTAACAGCTAACAGTGTTCACTACCTGGGAAGCATTGTGCACATGTGTGTTCCATGTGTGTAAAGTAGTGACAGGCTGGTTTTCCTCCCATATTCTTACTTTTCCTCTCTTCCCACACTTCCCCATTTTCAGCCCTGTAATCTCTCGTCCCCTCAATCTGGAAAATTCCTCAGTCGTTTTTTGACTTTCATGGCCTCGGTAATTTTGAAGATTATGGACCAGTCACCTTATGAGCATCCCTTAATTGGAGTTTGTCTGCTGTTTCCACATGATTGGACCAACGTTATGCATTTTTGTACCAGAACATCACAGAGGCTGTATTTTTGTACTTCAACCTATGGGTGGCATACTACACCTGGTTGTCCCTTATTGATCATTCCACTAAGATCATTTCTGCCAGATTTCTCCACGAGGCTTTTCGCCCTTTTTAATATTTTGTGGGGAGGTATTTTTGAGACTATCCATTCCTCATCTTCATTTTACCCACGAATTTTAGCATCTGTTAATGTTTCTTGACTGGATTATTTTTATAGTCGTTGCCAAATGGAGATTTTCTCATACCTCCATGCTTTCTTTATTGTGGACTCTAACTGCAAAAAAAAATATATATATATATTAATTTATTCACCTATTTGAGTGTTGTGGATTCATGAATTCATAACCCATTCTGTGGGTTATAATCAGTTGCCATCATTTTTAAAGTTTTTATTCTTAAACTAGAGGCCCGGTGCACAAAATTCATGCACTTGCAGGAGGGAGGTATCTCAGGCAGGCCTGTGCCCTCTCCCAGTCCAGGAGCCCACAGGGAGCGGGCCTAAGCTGTCAGTCGGACATCCTTAGCGCTGCTGCGGAGGCGGGAGAGGCTCCCACCACCGGCACTGTGCTTGCCAGCCATGAGCCCTGCTTCTGGTTGAGAGCACTGACCACCAGGGAGCAGCTCCTGCGTTGAGTGTCTGCCCCCTGGTGGTCAGTGCGCATCATAGCAGCTGGTCATTTCACCATTTGGTTGATTTGCGTATTAGCCTTTTATTATATAGAATTGTCCTCGATTTAGCCAGTGAGAACTGACTTCTCTGACTTTTGACATGCCCTCCCCCCCACACCCCCCGCTTTTTTTAACCTGGTATTTCTTTATTTTAAAAATATGGAACACTTCATCAATTTGCGTGTCATCCTTGCACAGGGGCCATGCTAATCTTCTCTGTATCACTCCAATGTTAGTATGTGTGCTGCCGAAGTGAGCTCACAAGTCCCCTTTATTCTTTGAGTATTTTCTTACTTTCTTACACTAGATATTCCAGACTCATCTTGTTCTTTCCCTGCCAGAGCCCTGAAATTAGCCATTTTGCCAAGGAACATGATTCCTTTTAGTGGAGAATACTGTTTGAAAACCAACATACTGGCATTAAGTATGTTCCCAGTCCCTTCAGTGGGCAGGCATAGAGGGAAAGAATAGACACACAGACACACACACACACCTGCATTTATTTTTGAACTAGAGGCCCAATGCATGAAATTCATGCATGGGTAGGGTCCCTAAGCCTGGCTGGTGATCAGGGCCAATCGGGGCCTTCCAGTTGCTGGCTGGGGCTTTCCTTCATTCTGCACTGCCCCCTGGTGGCCAGCACACATCATAGTGAGCGATCAAACTTCCGAGGGGACAATTTGCATATTAGGCTTTTATATAGAGAGATTGTCTAGACCAGCCGTGGGCAAACTACGGCCCGCGGGCCGGATTCGGCCCGTTCGGCTGTTTATCCGGCCCACGGAGCCGAAAGAGCGGAGGGTTCTCTTGCTCTCCCCTCCGCTCCTTCACCAGCAGCAGTGTTAACATGTACTAGTTCACACAAACACTCCATCCATGCTTTTGTTCTGGCCCTCCGGTCCAGTTTAAGAACCCATTGTGGCCCTCGAGTCAAAAAGTTTGCCCACCCCTGGTCTAAACAGTGGTCGGCAAACTGCGGCTCAGCAAACCGCGGCTTGCGAGTCACATGCGGCTCTTTGGTTCCTTGAGTGTGGCTCTTCCACAAAATACTGGCTCTTCCGCAAAATACCGGCTCTTCCGCAAAATACCGACTTCTGCACGTGGGCCACGGTTTCAATTGCACTGTATGTGTGTGCCCGCACGTGGTATTTTGTGGAAGAGCCACACTGAAGGGGCCAAAGAACCACATGTGGCTCACAAGCTGTGGTTTGCTGACCACAGGTCTAGACCTATCTACCAGAAGTTTGGTTTGGATCTTTTTTAAAAAATATATATATTAATTATTGCCATTTAAAAAAAAATAATATGTTACTGATTTTTTTACAGAGAGGAAGGGAGAGGGATAGAAAGTTAGAAACATCAATGAGAGAGAAACATCAATCAGCTGCCTCCTACACACCCCCTACTAGGGATGTGCCTGCAACCAATGTACATGCCCTTGACCAGAATCGAACCTGGGACCATTCAGTCTGCAGGCCAACACTCTATCCACTGAGCCAAACTGGTTAGGGCTGGATCTTATTTATATCTTCTAGGTCTATACTCCTCATGTTCATTCTTGCCTCTAGCTTTTTGAACACATGGGATACAGTTATAACGACCTTTAATCTCCTCAGATACTAATTCTTGCATTTCTTCAGTTTCTGGGATGGCTTCAATTTCTTTTTTTTCCTCCTCATTCTGGGTAACATTTTCCTTCCTCTTGGCATATCCTGTAATTTTTTTCTTGGATGGCAGACATTGTGAACTTTACCTTGTTGAGTGCTGGGTACTTCTGTATCCCTATACTAGTAAATGTTCTGGAGGGCCCTAGCCAGTTTGGCTTAGTGGATAGAGCATTGGCCCTTAAACTGAAGGGTCCCAGGTTCGATTCTAGTCAAGGGCATGTACCTTGGTTGCATGGATCCCCAGCCCTGGTCAGGGTGCCTACAGGAGCAACCAATTGATGAGTCTCTCTCACAACGATGTTTCTCTTTCTCTGTCTCTCCCCTTCACTTCCACTCTCTGAAAATCAATGGAAATATATCCTCTGGTGATGATTAATAAAACAAAACAAAACAAAAAAGTTTTTAAAAAGTTATGGAGGTTTGTTTGGGGGACATAATTAACTTAGTGAGAATCAATTCTATCGTTTTAGGTTTTGCTCCTAAACTGTATTAAGTGGTATCAAAGTAGCATTTAATTGAGATCTATGGCTCCATCACTGAAACCACATTCCTACCCATTCCCCACGGATTATTTCAGGCACTGTGTGAGCTCCTGGGATTGTTCCCTGTATTGCGATCAGGTGGTCCTTCTCCAGCCTCAGATGTCGTCACCTCACAAGCATATGTTGATCAGCAGCTGCTGGAGCAAGTTGAGTTCAGAGATCTGTGAAGACCAGTTTCTGTTCACAAATCAGTGACCAGAGATAGGTTAGCAAATAGCATGTAATGTTTGATGTTATTTTTTGTCTGATTTCTCAGTAAAAGAAAAGAACATAAGGTAGAATATACCTTACTAGCCCTTTCATTAAAAATAAAATAATTTCCCAGAGTCATAGAAGCATGAACAGCCTTGAACCTCAGAGGGAAGGCAGGGGAGGGTGGGTGAGAAGAGATCAACCAATGAACTTGTATGCATATATGCATAACCCATGGACACAGACAATGGGGTGGTGAGGGCCTGGGGCAGGGGGGAGGATGGGAGTGGGCTGGAAGAGGTTAATGGGAGGAAAAGGAAGACCTATGTAATACTTTCAACAATAAAGACTAAAAGAAAAAAAAGTTGACTCCAAGTGTTGTTGGGTCTCTGAGGAGGGCTAGGCTCTGCTGCTAGCCCCCACACACCCATATTTTAGAAACACCCAGGGAATGTTTCCTGATTTCATATATATATGGTTATAGGGGTATAAATTTGTTGGTGGGGGTTTCTTCACAGAACAGCTGGAAATGGCTGTAGCAGTTACTAAGGAAAGGCTTTACATTATCCAGAGCTGAGGCTCTTTCCCGAGGAACCAATGCTGATTGGTCCCAGGAGGTACAGTTGATAGAGTCCCAGGGCTCAGGAACAGTCTTATACTGTATACAATTCGGGAAGTCTTCCTCATAGAAATATCCGGATTTCAGTGCCAGTGCTAGGGCGGAACACTAGAAACACTATGTTCCCAATAAGTGGCATATTTTTAAATATATGAAAGGCAGGGCACGTTATAATTTTTGTGGGCCCTGGCCACTTTGGGGAAACTTTCTTCCATTAAAATATGTACGTTAGTTCTATTTTACAACTGCATTGAAAAATACAACCCAGGCTGGGTTAAAAATTAAAATATGTTCTTCCACCCAGAAGCACATTTTCTTCTTTCTGGTTTTTAAGGAAATTTAAATACTCTTGTGGTTCCTAAAAAACCCCAAACATTTTTGTGGTTCCCTGAAAGCACCATAGGCCCTAAACACCATGCTTACAGGATAAGTCAGCCCCGATTAAAGGAAGAAACGAGGCAGGCAGCTATGCACACCGGCCAAGAGAAACAAACCCCAGATAGAGAGATGGAAACTTGAGCGTCCAAATCTCTGCTAGAAAAGCTGTTCCGTGGATGACAGCCTCCCAAAGTTTATGTTTGTTTTTTAGCCCAATAACAGACTAGGAATTCTATTGGGCTTTTTTTTAATTCCTTTAAAATAAATAGAAAGTACTTTCATTTCTGACATGTGATGAATTAGTTGCTCCAAGGAGATTTCCTACTTTGGAAGCCCTTGGAATCTTTTTTTTCAAAAATATGTTTTTATTCTTAGAGAGGAAGGGAGAGGAGAGAGAGAGAATCACCAATGATGAGAGAGAAACATCGATCAGCTGCCTCCTGTGCGCCCCACACTGGGGAGCAGGCCTGCAACCCAGGCATGTGCCCTGACCGGGAATAGAACGGCGGCTTCTTAGTGCGTAGGTCAACGCTCAACCACTGAGCCATACCAGCCGGTTGGAGCACTTGGATTTTTAATAAGACACATTGTCTGATGAATTACCAGCTCCATAAGAAGTAGGGGGATTTCCTGAGCACCCTCCCCAGCCTGCCCCTAAGAAGCTAACAAACTCAGGAGCAGGTTGTCTGAGGCTCCTGGCCTTACTATCTACTAGTAGGAACCCTGAGCCTTGGGTAGGGAACTGAGCGTGGCTGTCACTTTGAGCTGGGACTCTGCAGGGTGGGGCAGAGCGTGCAGAAGAGTGTCCCTATAACCAGGCTGCTTTAGAAAGTTGACAAGGTTGGCCCCTGGCTGGTGTCTGGGAACCTGGACTTGGGGAGGGTTCTCTCTATTCCCCGGTAAGAGTGGCTCACTGTGCCCAAGCTGTTTGTGCAGACCACATTTTTTATGCTGAACATTGCCCTCCTGGGAGTATGGGATTTTGAAGCATGCTAGGTAGAAGGTGCCTACTGTGTGCCATTGCAAAGGTGCACGCTCCTTCCCAACAGGTGTGGCAGCTTTGTGCAGGCCGGTGGCTCTTGAACCTGGCTGGACATTAAAATCACCACAGGAACCGTTAAGAAACCCAGGTGCCACATTCACGATAGTCCCATGGGCAACAGAAGGGTAGTGGTGTGTCCACATCGGGGACTTCTACACAGCAAGGGATGGATCAACCACAGCACACACCACACTACAGGAACCACACATGGAGAGAACAGGCCGTCTGACCCGGCTTACAGCAAGAGCAAAACAGGCAGAACCGGGGCTGTGAGAAGTCAGCTTCTGGTTACCTTTGGAGGGTGAGGCTAGTGACAGGAGGGAGTCTGCGGGCTCCCAGGTGCTGGTCACGCTCTGATTCCTCATCTGGGTTACAGGGGTGCGGCCCATTGGGGGAAACTCAGGGAGCTGAACACGTGATTTGTGCACTTTCCTTTATGCATATTAAACTTCAGTAAACATCCAAAGTAAACAGGAAGTGAGCAATACCAGGCCCATTGCAGACCAATCTGAAACCCTTGCGTGAGCTCCAGGCATGAGAGAGTTTTCTGTATCTTCCGATGCCTCTACAGATCCTAGTGTGCAGCCAAGATCCGAATGCACGTCACAGGGGCATCTGGTGAAAATGCAGTTCTGCCTTTCCAGGGCTGGGAAGGCCCAGGGCTCTGCATTCTTGTCTTGAGAACAGCTTCCAGCCAAGGCCCATTGCTGCCCCACACAGGAGCAGTGAGGCTGTTTAAAAATTAATTTTAGCCCCAGCTGGTTTGGCTCAGTGGATAGAGTGTTAGCCTGCGAACTGAAGGGTCCCAGGTTCGATTCCA